GGATTGAAATCTTATATATGTTGCGAACCTTGGTGTTTGTCCAAGCATTCGTCTGTCTTCCGTTTCAAAAGCTGCGCACGCTAGCAAAGCTCAATATTCACTTTTGAAATGACGGGAGAACAGGCATGAATAATGTTGACGCTAATTTTTATTTCGCAAGCAGGATATTTTACACTAAGTTATTAGGAACTGATCACACTATCATTCAAATTTCAAAATGTGACGTAACTTAAAGAATAAAAATGTAGATTTACCGTATGTTATTGTTGAGTGGCTCTTAGCATAACTGAAATGTTCAACAATTACTTTTCGCTGTGAGCTGTATATGTAGCTCAGAGCTTTGGCTCTGAGTGAAACCAAGAGTGCAATACAATTAAACTTTTTAAAGTCCATACAATAATTGAAATTGATAGATTAACTTAAACTCTTCCCGTCACTGGGGACGGGTACTTTTGCTAGATTAATTTAAACTTTAAAGTTTATTAACCTTCATCGAGAATTATGTAACATCAATGATCCTGTGAATTACGTATTGCGTTTTGTAAGATTTTTCTATACTTTTATTTTGTGGGTAAAAAAAAAGATTCTTTAAATAATGCAGGAGCATGCATAATTTCAAAATCGTATCGACAACTGCCTGTTTTTGTTTTTCATTTAAAACGAAATTTACTTCTGATAACAACACTTGGTCACCTGCATCAACTGAATCTCGAGTTGGTACATTGTTATCATCACACTTATTGCTGTATTGACTAAGTCAGAAACTCATTTTGTTCATTCTTCATTATACCGCTATCATCAGATTATATATATATATATATATATTTATAAATCAATTTCGCCTATATTCATGTAGTTTTTGATTCACTAGACTTCCATTCTATGACATCCACTTTTAATCATAGCAGACATGCAGGATTTTCGATTCTATAACAATTTGAAGATAATTATTGCTGTTAAGCGCTCTAGTGCTGTTCTATGGCCTTCAAAAATCGGTCAACATTGTTTGTTTGTACTTAGTTAAGCACAAAACTACATAAAGAGTTTTCTGTGCTCTGCCAACCACGGGTATCGAAACCCGCTTTCTGGCGTTGCAAGTCCGCAGACAAACCACTGTGCCGACGGTTAACTTTGAAAATAAAACATTAGTTTTCTTAAACTACCTAAATTATTATTGACTACTTACTGTAAATATGTTTATTCTACACTTAGAAGTATGGCTTGCAAAATTAGGTATAAATTATCTATGAATTACTTGTTTCTTATATTGTTTGTTTGTTTCAGGGCAAATTGAAAGTAGGCTATCTGTTGCGGGGAATCGAACCTCGGATTTTAGCGTTTAGTCCGTTAACTTATTGCTGACCCATCGGGGGACTGCTTGTTCCTTGTTTTATTCTCTTGTACATTAGAAGTTTGAAGCTTAAACAAACAGAACAGTAGGCTTTGCTTCTATCTTTATACTTTATTGATAGTTTCCAGATTACAAATTCATATTTCACATGTTTTTTAAAGTTTAAAATTCTGGAATAACTTTCAATATTTTTCCTTACGAAATATAAAGAGATTTACCTCATTTTATTCGAAATGGGAAGATGAATGAGGTCGAGATAAAGACTCCTCAAATATGTTATGGAAATATTTTGCAGGATAAATGGTCTAATGAACAACATAAAATTGACGGTAAAACCTCAGCAACTAAATAACTGTGGGTTTTATTTTAGTATTCTTATTTTACATTTACTCTATTACAAACAAATGTCTCCGTCAATATTGTTACGACAGCGGAAGTCACGTGACTCTGGTAACACGTGATGAGATTCTCGAAGGATCATGAATTTTCCTGGTAACTCTAGTTTGTACCAGGCGCCCTCTTTTTTTTTAGTATATGAGCCCGGCAAATAAAGCGAGGATAGAATTGCATAGATAGATAGATATACAGATAGATAGTCAAGCAAACAGTAGGCACCGGAAGTAAAGTGTGTGAATCACTGTGATTTATAGCTTGTGTTTATAAAAGTAGTTAAGTTTAAAGTGACGGTGGAAATTCTGTGTATTACAAAGTTGTATCAAGAAAGAATAAACTAGTTTTAATTAAGAAAGGACGTGTATAGCTGAAGTTCCTCGGAAAGAATTTATACCGGAAATTAGCAAACGACCAGATACGTAACAACAATATATGTATACACACACTCCGCTGAAAATACTATAAACATTGAATCAATAATTTATGTATATATATATACAGGTGTCTCAGTAAACTTTTAAAGCATGTTTTTTGTTTGTTTTTTCAGAAGTATATAATTTAAAACCTGTATAATTACTCAGAGCCTGTATTTTAATGCCTCAGACTGTAAAATGTGTATATTTAGTTTTCTCTCTCTCTATTCACTTATAATGTAATTCAGTTATTAGTTGTAGCTGTCATACATGTGCCCTGAAGCAAACACGCTGTGGTAAAGATGTTTTGTAGAAAGAGTTACGCTACAGGTAATTACATATAACTGTACAATTCGCTTGTTAGTCTGAAATGAAGTCATCTGAGAGGTTGACAGAAGAATCCATGATTAGCTGATTCAGAGATATCACGTATTAGAGCTTAAAAATTGAGTTCTGAAATTAATATTTTCAATTACAAGATAAGAAAGATTATTCTCAGATGTTCGGCAGAAGGTGGGAAACAACTATGTTTGAAATATATTCTCATATTTACTTACATATGACTTTATGAATTATAATGTAACACCACCAGAGAAGTTTGGGTAAAAATAGCCCATATTTCAGTCAATTTTAGCTTGTATTTTGTTACATTTAGCCTTTAATAAAGTTGGCAGCAGTAGACACAGTTGGGAGGCGTGTAGATATATAAATCTCGGTGATTTTTCTAATCTAATATTGGAAGTATCTGATAATATTAAAATGTTTGTTAACAAAGCGCTGATTAATAATTTCACACATGTTTACCATAATCATATCTGCTACTGGCATTAAAAATTGAAGAATTATTATTACTTTATTTATATTGCATATATTTCTGACTTCGAAACGGCTTAAAAAAAGATTGCTTTCTAAATTGTGTTCAAATTTTATTTTCTCTCTTTTTGGTGTGAAGTATTTCACTCTGTAATCTGATTTGTCTTTTCTATATTTTTGGATAACGTAATGAACTTCATTTAGTTTCAACTTAAAAAAAAGCAGATCATCACACTCGTCCTATTGTGATGCTTGTTTCACCATCCAAATTTTAAACGTCATTCTTTTAACAACTGAACCTAAGGAACAATGGTCCGCATTCTGCCCTGGGTGTATTATAAGAGCCGCGAACAAATAATACATCCATGACATAAAACAATACACCCATGGCCACTCGAATCGATTTGAGTGGCTGAAGTGTTAGTGATGGTGCTGTTTTCAGTATATTCTACCAGTTCAAAATTAGGGACAGCTAAAGCGGGTGGCTAGGACGCTCGACTGGCAATCTGAGGGTCACGGGTTCAAATCCCCATCCCACCAAAGATGCTCGCCCTTTCAGCCGTGGGAGCTTTGTAAACTGACGGTCAATTCCACTATTCGTTGGTAAAAGTGTTGGCTGTCTTACAATGCTAAATTAGGGACGGCTAGCGCAGATAGCCCTCGTGTAGCCTTGCGCAAAATTCAAAACAAACAATCTAACGCAGATAGTCCTTATGTGGCTTTGCGTGAGTATTTGACTCAAAAGTTTGTTGTTTTTTTAAGTTTTTTGTATATATTTTCTGTGATTAAATTAGAAAGATTCCATTTACCTGTCCTGTAATAGTTTTTATTATTATCATTTATTGAGTTCCCGAAGCGATGTTTTTAATACTTAGTGAAATATGTTACAACTATTAAAAATCCTGCGTATCTTTAAAAATCTCGCTTCTGTTGATATTTCTGGAAGTACTTTACACTTTTTCTGATGCAAAACATGGTGTATTCTAATTTTCCTGGCTTTTGTTTCAGCAGACTGCCCTTTAATAGTTCATTGAAATCTTGTACGTTAGTGTATTTATTAAACTGTAGAATTTTTTAAATGCATCAAGCAACAAAAAACGACAATGAACAATATAATAGTAGATTAGGCTTAGTATTTTTAACATTCTATAACTTTCTATTGACCAGCAATTCTGACAAGTTTTTGATTAGCTCTGTAATTTGTGCCTCATAGTGGTGTTATATATCTAGATATACCAAAATCTGGTGGAGTCAGTTTTAGAATTTTTTTTTTTGTCACTCGACAAAAGCAGTAGTGTTGCAAGGCTTCATCCAAAATTAGTTTACATATTTGTGAAGTTCTCATACAATCCTTTTTTTTTATCATTCATCATAACTTAAAGTATCTGTTACTCTGGCCGAAAAGAATCGTTGTAAAATCCTCTCTAAATGTTTCTTCTGGTAGGCTACGCTTTAATTGAAGGGTTGCGGGATCTAAACCCGTCGCCTAACATGTTCTTCCTTTCTGCCGTGGGGCGTTTAATGTTATGGTCAATCCCGATTTGGTATTGACTGTCTTCTTTCCTTCTAGTCTATCACTTCAAAATTAGAGACAGCTAGCGGAGATCGCCCTTGAATAACTTTGCGCGAAGATTCATCAAACAAATCTCAATATCCTAAAATTACTGAAAGTACTCTCAATGATAATTAGATAAAACGAGTCATGTGAAATGCACCAGAAATCATAAAACATTTCAGAAGATGACTATTGTATACTACAACCCTCTGAAAAAAGTCGCAATATTTTTGTAGAAGAATTTTGTATATTTAACGAAATAGAAATGGTTCAGTACATACATACATATATATATATATACAATGTACATACAAATACACATTGTTTTTGTTACTTTTTTATTTTACTTAATGTTTTGAAAAGGTATAAAGGTGCTATTTCACTTGGATAAAGTTTCATTCATCCCATCATATTATTATAAGCTTTAAAAAAATTGTGGAAGCGAATGTATGTACGTAACGAAATAACTATACAATTAAAAAAAAAAGTCACTTTATTAAACAAGTGTTTATTATTTACAGTTTTTGAAGTGTAATATTCAATGTAAAAGACAAACTAAGACGCGGTTAAATATTTACACAAGTCTGAGATACATTTGGACATTGAATTTCAACACGACATATTATATTAGTAGTAACGTTATTATGCATACATTCCAACACTACAGTAAAATGTTAATTAACATAATTGACAGGAACAATCCATGTATTGTAATAGTTGGTTTTGTATACTTACCCTTTGTTGTTTCTTTCTTACAAAAAGACTATTTTTATGTATAGTACCAAGTAGAATATTCATCATGAATATCCATTTTGGGTTTACAGACAAGAATTACTGTTATCAAAATGATAAATTATTGAATAATTAAAAAATACTTGATTTGCACCTTAATGTTTGCTTTATTCAAGCGATTAAAATACTGTAAAATATTTTTCACAAAAATTACCTAACTTCATAGGCCTCGGAACAGGGATATCATTTTTTCACCTCCTCCCCCCATAAATTTTTACAGTTTTACTACCTCCCCACCCGAATTGAGTTTATGGCTCAGAAATGTGACTCAAAATAAGTAAATAAGATACTCAAATAGAGTTGGTAGCTGCTGAAGATAAAAAATATAAAGTGAAGAGCTTAAGGTAAAAATGGAAGTTTATGTAAGTTGGTCATTAAACTGCTTATTTCGCGTTGATTTATGTTTTTCTTAAGACTTCCACTATATTTTTGGCAGTTGCTACAACAAAATGGGCCAAAATTCGAACTTCTAGTGAAAATTTGGCCCTAGAACTACACATATTTTTCCGACGCCTATAATAATCAACAATTTAATTTATGCATTTAAAGTAATCACCATGGTGGCAGTTTATTCGTCTCCAATGTGGAAAGAAACAAAACGATTTGTTCGTCAGTTGTTACAAGATTGTGTGGTCAATAGTATACACCTACTGTTTCTTCTTCTTAGCTATTGGCCTGACGACTGCTGGCCATACTCTGGACACGATATACGGAGCCACAGCAATCATCAAAAAAGGTAAAATGGCGTAAACGACGAACGCGGAGAAGTAGAAAAAGTTAATGTTGTATCTTGGCAGAGGGACTCGCTCAAACAATTTTGTCACGCCAATAGCCAAGATGGCAGAAGCAATCTTCATACCCGTAGTGAAGGGGACTTCTTCAGCTTTCTTGTTCAAAATAGAATTGAGACCAATGCCCATACCCAACATAAAGCCACAGTAGCGCATCATAGAGAAGAAAGGGGTTGTGTCAAGGTGAATAAATTCCTGCTTCGCACACCATTTCATAGCCCTATCCACTGACCAACGAGGATTTAGACCTAAGGCATGTAGAAAAGCGTAGGTGGTCAAAGCACTGCCCAGCAGTCCAGCGGTTGCCATCATGTAATGCTTCAACTTCAAACTGTCCAGAGAAATCTTACTCATGGTAATACCGAGACCACAGCCTATAATGATAAAAAAAAATAAAGAATTCATATCGGAAGGCAGTTCATCAAATAAAGAATAAATATTTCCTAACATATACTTTGACAGGTGAAGAATGTCATCGAAATTATCATACAAGCTGCGATTACTTTATTTGAAATAATGCATTTAATTTGTTAATTCAGTTATACTAACACCAGAATAGTTTTTTTTTTATTATTTACTGTGAACTATGTGTTTTCATTTTGAACACAAAGTTACACAATGGACTGTCTGTGCTTTAATCTGTGGTGAACTTGCTAAGGATCACATCTTAGGGAACACTTAACTTTACGGAAACATACTTAATACGTAAATTCCATAATCACAGTGTAACATGGTAATTATTAAAGCTTTAAATACCAGTGGCATTTATATTATTATTGTTTGGCGAATCCAATATGGAGTGTTCCACTCGGAGGCATCCAATTTATTTTCCTGATTGTTACAATAATGTACAACTTTCCAGTTGAAACTGATATTGGACAGTGAGTGTAGTCTTTGAATTTGTGTTTGGTGCAAGTTTTCGTACAACCGACTCGACAACATATTCGAGACTCGCCAAATCTGAATGTTTGGTGTCTCCTGATATCTTCTTACATCACTGGACTATTTTTCTTCGATGAAGAAACCGTCAATGCAGAAACGTGTCTAAACATGTTAAAACATTTTTAGTGCTTCAACTACGCGGAAAACGTATGGTGCATTCAATTCATCTACAGCAAGATGGTATTTCTCACGAGGTGTTCGTGATTCCCTTGATGCAACATTCCACAACAAATTGATCGGTTGAGGTGGACCCATTGCTTGGTACCCAAGACCACCCGACCTCACTCCCTGTGACCTTTTTTTTTTTTTTTTTTGTGGGATTTCATCAAGGATAGTGTTTATGTTACGCGTCCACAGTCCTTGGATGAACTACAAGATCACATCACTGATGTTGTAAGGATACGTCCCGTGCCGTCTGTGCAAAGGTTATGGATAATTTTGTTGAAGGTCTCCAGAAGTGTGTTGAAAAGGTAGATGGACATGTTGAGTACAATACAAAACTTCAAAGACTACGCTGACTGTCACGTATCCGTTTCAACTGGAAGGTTACACATTCTTGTAATAATCAGGAAAAAATGAATACCTACGAATCGGACACTCTGTATAAAAAAAAAAAAAGAACATATATAAAATCTAATAAACGAAAATAACGGTTTAGCTTACCAATAATCATTCCTAACAAACACTGATGAGGAAAATGGGCAGCAATGTACACTCGAGATAGACTGACCACACACAGCAAGATTGTATAGATTGACCAACTCACAGAAACCAGCATGTTCTTACTAATACAGAAAAGTATCGAAAAAACTGCAGAGTTAATGGCAGGAAATTGAATCAAAAAACTGTAATTATACTGAAGTAAGCTTCTCATAATTAAAGAAACAAAAACGTTTTAATTATATAGCTTTATCAAGATGTGATTAAGTATTGCCTATATAAAAATTCTGTGAGTTAACACTGTTTCTAGTAGGATATGTTGTGTTAAAAAATGTTAAATCTTAATTTCTTGTGTATAATTATCTTGGCACTTCTTTTGTGTTGTGTTTTGTATTTTCTTATTTTATTGTTTTAGCATGTTTGTTTTACAATTTTTGCGAAAGTTACACAAGATTTTTATGCATATATCAGTCTATATTTCTGAAGTGGTAGACTAGAGGAACGGTAGCTAATCAACTGCACCCACCGCCAACTCTTGGGCTACTTTTGTCTGACCAACTTTGGGGGACTCGACTATAGCATTTTATATCGCAAAGTGCGGAGCGTATTTTTCATTTTATTTTTTGCGACAACAGGGTTAGAGCCTTGAACCCTATGGTACGTACGTTGACTACTAGGTCACGCCGACCTTATTATTACAATAACACAGGTCTGCGATAGTTTTATTGTATTGAGATTTTTACATGTTCTACAATAATTCCTGTACGCTGAATCCGAAAATGATATCCATTTTCCTCCATCACGTACAGATTTTTCACAAAACGTCATAACGCAATACATAAAAGAAAGACCACAACACGTAATTTTGAGACTAAAAGACGTAGATTTAACACAAATAAATGAGGATGCATATTCGTTTGACATTAATGTTCTTCTCTTTTCTTCAGTTTGTTTGTATTTTTGTTAACAAATATAATAATAAAACATGTTCACTGTGGAAAACGAAATAATAATTTCATATAAGTAAGAGTGTTGTTGTTTTTCTTCCCGATTTGTAAAAACTCCTTACGTGGTAGAGATAAATAAATATTATTTTCACAATCTGCGTAGCTGAATTTTGGAAAATCCGTCATTACAACCAAAACTTTTATGAAGTTGAAATTCGCAGGTCTGTGTTATCAAAGTGAACAGGTGAATCCAGTAAACTCCTGTCAGTTATTGAACACAATGTGTTAAAACCTAATGATCGTTGATCCTCACGTTAAAAGCTGATATCTCACTTTAGCAGCCATTTTATTAGTGATTACTTACCTATTTTTGCTGACGGGCCCAGACTTCTCCAGAAAGGCTGTGATAAGAATGTACCACACAGCAGCAGCTATCGTGGCATGCCCTGAAGGACTCCCTGAAAAATAAATAAATAATTTTTTTTATTATTAGATTCGAAATATTATGTCATACATACGCAGATATTATGAACGAAATTGTAATTTTTGTTGTTATTGTCTTTTGGTTCCGTATTAACAGAGTCATCAATGGTAATCATTAAAAGCGAACTTTTAATTCAACTATTTTAATAATAGCTTAAATTTAGTGGTTGCTTAATTTAGAGTAATAAAGAGTAATCGTAAGAAAAATGAGAACATACGTCGGTGATACGACTAATACAAAAACGGTGATTTTGTTTTTAAGTGCTTACGCGCAAACTTTTTTTAGTGCGAATTTTAGGGAAATTTTTACAACTTCTATAGGTATTCCTATCATAATATTATTTTTTTTAATTTGAATAATCAATATAAGTAAACTGATTAGCCCTAAAATTAACGTAGTTTCACAAAATTCTCCTTAGATGGCGTCTTTGAAGAATATGCGTAACATATATCCTATTTAAATAAATACCTTTATATATGACGTACCTGGTCCAGTCTCACATGTCAGGAAGTACTGCTGAATTGCTGGTGTATTGGAGCCTGTCTTGTTGTAAACTTGTGTTTCATGTATCCACCAGTAGGGGCGTTCTCCGTAAAGCATCCTATAAGCAGTGAGAAAATGAAGCTATTAAAATTCGATGACAAGGAACCCACTTTGAGACTAATAATGCTTGGAGACGGCTTGAATGCGTAATGAAGATAAACTTTAATATAAGTTTGACATAACAGCAAATGTATAACATTTCGACAAGGTTTTGTCATCATCAGGTATTAATTTGGTATACAACAGAAGAAGATTAATAAAACAAGTTTAAATTTTGTCAGTTCTACATGCCCTTTTTTATGGTAATGCATATTGGAATAGAGTTTCTTTTTCTTTATTTACACATTGCATAGGCTCAGGTTTCTTTATTAGAGGCGTAACTAGAAAGAACAGAATAACATGTGAACCATGTTCAAAGGTGCAATTCAAAACTCTTACCATTTCAGAACTTGGTTGGACCATTCAGCAATGATGGTAACCCACATCAGCTTCGTCCCTATCCTGCGATCCAATGAGAAAAGCAAAGGTGCATAAAAAAGAAAAACATGACGTGCATCCCCAAAGTTCGAAATAGTGAAGAAGAAGTCTTTCTGCTGGTGAAACCTGCGACAATAAAAGATATTTAATTTGACAAAAAAAAAAGAGAAAAAAAGATTGATGATTATTTATATATTATTCCAAGTATCATATTTAAAAATGATAATAATGAAGCTTTGAAACAAGCTAATTAAGAAATTATTTTGTGTAATAAAAATAAATTTCAACCAATAAAGCCAGTTATTTGACTAAGGTTTGATGTTAAATATTCATATCATAAATATAAGTTGAGTGAATAATTGGAATATTGCATAGAACAACTTCCTTACTTTGTTTGTAAAGTTTCAATTGCGGAAACGCTGTTCTCGTATACCAGATCCATTGTTTTTGAAACTGTGGATTTTGTAGTTCACAAAATGACAGGCTGAGAGGATAAAAAAACCTGAAAAATATATAAAAATAATTTTGCTGAGAAAGTTAAAAACTTCCATATGTACGAATAAACTGTTGTTAAACGAATAAATGCTATTTGTTTTTTCATTGATTGAGCAAAAAAATGATGGTTCCGGTCTCTCATCTAAAAAAAAGTAGGTGGAAATAATTTTTTTGAGCCGAATGTAAAATGAATTTTT